ACCTTAGTTAAAAAGAAAAACGTTGTATGCCAATTATGTGCATCGTTTATCCAATGTCGATATATCTAACAAACGAAATATTAACCAATCTTCCACAAATTCGATTAATCGTATCGATAGACTGAATGTCCGCTACACCTGTTTCAACTTACATTCCACCGATGTAACATATGTACCAAACGTATCCGGGCCGATTAATGACCAAGATCGAATATATCTATCGTACATTAAAACGACAAATCTTATTCGATTTCTGTCATTATTCTGTCATCGTACTCCGATCGACGAGTCCTGTTCTATTTCTACTAATCAGCTGCTCATGAAATCTCCAACGGACACTGCGCGAAATCTACTTTTGCTGATTTGCTAACGATTTGGGGCTCTATTCTTGAAACATATTGTATACGAAAATCCTATAGTTTATGTGACATATATTATAGGATTTTCGTATGCGATATGTTTCAAAAATAGGGCCCCTAGATAATTTTCTTTTTTTCCTTCTAACTATATATTTCTTTCGTCATAACATATGAAACGTAAAATGTTGAGCAGTGTCTGTTCATTGTGACAATGATATTAATGAGAGAACATTCTCTCCTCTCTTTATTCATATATAAATTATACAATACCGTTAAAATGACTTGTCATATATAATTGTTATGTTATTTTTATATATGTGTATATGTATATGTACATCTATGTACACACATATATATATATATGTATATATATATATACTTTCTTACAAACATATTACGATATCTTTCGAATAACGTAGTTACTTTTTAGTTTTCTACACAAGTAGATTTCATTCCTTATTAAATCATTCTGTTGATTTATAAAATCTATCCTAACTCTATATATATATATATATATTTCTTATGGCACGTAAACGATCATTGTAATGTATAGGCCATATTTTAAGATCTCGTTACAAAATATCCATTGAAATTACGAAATCTTCGTAATTTTAGTTATCACTATTGTAGAAGAAAAAGAAAAACGAGTGAAAGTAACAAGTAAGAACGATTATATCTATGTTCAACGCCGAACCACATTGGATCACTGCGAAAAATTCTTTATCTGAGTAATTAAACTTAAATAATAATACATTATTCATTTGTCACTAATATATTCTTTGTATAGATACCTATATAGATACCTAATAATAATAATTGTTTTACAAAAACGCTTCACATTTTACGTTACAATTCCGATTATCCGGAACACAAACACAAATTGTGTCACAATTTATTGAGATAAACCTTATCAATACCGAATCTTTACGACTGTATAATCTCGATATATATCACATACCGATACCATTCTCATATGAATTGATAAACTTACGATGCTACTCGACGTATTCGACTTAAGACGCATTTAAGCTTGTGGAATCGGATATATCTCTATTAAGAATAATTATTTGTTAATTAATGTGATAAAAATATTATTTCGCAGTCACGATGATAATCATTGTATCACTCGTAATTTTCACAAGATTAACTTACTTCAAACTTGAATCAGATGAATTCTGCTTCGATATAAAACACACACACACATACGCAATATATCTCATTTTAAATAATAACCTCAAATATCTCGAAAAAAAGAGAAAAAAAGGAAAATGTGTTATACAAAACTTGTACAATTTCGGAAAAAAGATCACATTGCACTATTGATTCGGATAGCATCATTGTCGAGACTTTTAGATGCATTTTTTTTAATGAAATTATATATTTTTTATTACGTAATATATAATAATGACAAAATGTAATTTATCTCATTAATCATTCACTTTTTGATAATCATACCCTTAATACTTTTGAGTAGAATAATAAGACGAATCTAATGATAAAAAAAATGCTTTAAAAAAAAGCGAGGTATTTTATATTATATTTTATGTTAAAATATATTAGAATTAAACATAAAATATCATTAAAAATTTCATTAACTCTGAACTTTTTAACATATCTTGTACCTCGATTTTTTTTATCTAGAATAATTAGAGAAATTAAATTGTCTTAAAAATATATATATATATAATTCCATTAAAAAAAAAATAAAATAAGATAAAATAAATAACGAGTAATAAAAAAAAAAGAATCTCGATAGTGTCGCCATCTATGAATAAGTTTATATTGTAAGTTTACATTGTAACAATCAAGCCAATATGTTTTTAAAACGATCAAATCACAAATGGCATTAATCAGCAGAGTCTTAATATCGAATAATTTCCCTTCGTTGAATTGAAATATAAATTAAATTTAACGATACGTAGCACGTGATAAGCATTTTCCCTTGAATTTATATATTAATTTAACGAAAAAGATTATTCGATACTAAGACT